GTCAGGCTGGTGGGTGGGGCCTGCCCGCTGGGCGGCTCCTCGGGCCCGGGGTGGGACTCGGGCCAGGCCTGGAGGGTCAGGACTGGGCCGGGAAGCGGCTGCTGCGGCTCTAGGCCTCTCTGGTTCCTGTCCCTTTCCACCCTGACTTGTAACACTCCCCTCCCGCCTGCCTTGTGAGAGGAGCAGGAAGTGTGGGGGGAAGGTAAGTGGCTTTCACAGTGGCATGGCAGCTCTTGGTTTGACCTTTCTGGGGCCCTTAGAGGGGATATGCTAGGCACAGTCCCGCAGCAAAAGATCCAGAGACCAGACCTGCTTTTCCCTTTCTCAGTTTTCCCTGTCTATACAGTGAAGGGTTTCATATTTCCTATATTTTTTACATAGTTATCTCTGTTAGCAGGAGCATGCTGTGGCCTTTGTAGTTAGTCTGTGCACCTGGGTTGCCTTTAACATCTCCCATAAATGAAACAGAAAGCAAGAATCATGGAGTGTTTTGTGAACAGTTAATGAAATAAACGTCCCAGCATCTCTCGAGTTGGTATTATTGCACTAATGTTACAGAAATGATCAGCAGGTAAAGTTTAATGCACCAGAAAGTTGCCTAAATTCATAGGCCTTGTCACTGTAACCTTTCTCTGAACAAGGCTGATATTTCAGTGCAGCTCCACTAATGGTAACAACAGTGGGATTGCTGAGTTAGACAAGGTTCTGAAGAACTGAGGATAGTTTTTACTGTCATTTTGATTAAACGTGCTGCAACAGTTTTAGCTGAGATGTAGTGAAAACATTGTAGGCCCACAGCCTTTCTGGACCACTCATACTAGCGCTGGTTGTGCTGCATGGATGGAAAATTATTTTTAAAAGGGGCTAGTGTAGACAGTCTTGTGTCTCTCCTGTTTGTTCAATTAGTTGGAAATAATACTTCAGTCAAAATGCAACACTTAACCAAAGTTACCACTTTTTCCAAAACGAAGCATACGTGTACTCACCTGGGTATGGGTTGGTGTTATTTATTTACTAGATTAGACTTTTTTCTCCTTAATTATTTTACAACACAATTGTGAAAATGGGCATGCTTTGCAATATATGATACTTATAAAAAAGTAATCATTTAGGTCTAACTTGGAAAATAGTTGTAATACATGGTTACATTGCAAGTATGTGAGTAGGCCTATTGACTTGAGTGGAAATACTTGCTTGAAGTTTCACATGCTTAGACTCTAGAATGTGTACCTCTCTTCTTCCTGTATTTTATTGGATTGGGGCTTTATAGTGCCTAAATTATTTCTATCACTTGAAAAGGATCACAACAAAGGTCACATTTTAATTGCTGGAGCTTATATACTGTTAAACCTATACTTTTTTTTTCCCTTCAAATTTTCATTCAAAGTTCAGTTTCTGGAGAAAATAGCAATCTATGGGAAGACTATAAATCTACTGATCTGTTAACTTTCTGTTCCTACAAACTTGGATTGCCTTTGAAATTACCTGATGTTCTTTTATGGAATCATTGATCAAACTAAGAAGCTGAGGTGTCTTGCTAGGACTGCTTCTCTGCAGATGCTTGGCTAAGGAGTAAAGGTACTAATTTCAGAAATTATCTTTTAACACTATTCTAGGACAAAGGGTCATGACTTTTGGCCACCAGAAGTTAGGTACTAAAAGTAATTTTTAATAGAAACTGTATTCAAGAAGATCAGCAATTTATAAATTGAAATTAGCAAAGTTTTCAGGCAAGTAGTTTATAATTTCATCTTCATTTTTTAATTTTTAGTTTCTTATTATGCATAGATATATAGATATCGTTAAATGAAAGTAGAGAGGTTATTTTACCTTTTGAATTTGGCACTACTGCAACTGCTGCTTGAATATTGGAATATCTAGTTCTGGCATCCATGATTCAAGAAAAATGTTTTGAAGTGGATTCAGAGAAGAGCCATGAGAATAATTAGAGGATTAAAAATCATCCCTTGTAGTTACAGATTTTTTTTAACTCAACACTTGTTTAATTCAACAAAGAGGAAGATAAGGGGTAACTTGATTACAGTCTGTAAGAAACTGCATGGTGAATAAATATTTAATGGGCTCTTCAATCTGGCAGAGAAAAATATAAAAGGATCCAGTGGTTGGAAATTGAAATGTGGATTAGAAGTTTTGGTTGATTCTCTATCACTAGCTATTTTTAAAATCAAAATTGTTTGTGTTTTTCTAAAAGATGTTTTCTAGGAATTATTTTGGGCGAGGTTTTGTGACCTTAGTTGTACAGGAGTTCAGATTGGATGACCACAAGAGTTACGACTTGGCTTGGAATTGTGAATTTAAAATATTCGTCTTAACACACACACTGAAATTTTTAGACTGTTGCCACTTCTCTAGTTTGGTAGTTCAGTGAGCATAGATGATTGTTGATATTTTCACCACAAATATAAGCATTTTCAAAACACCTTAGTGGCTAGCTTATATTAATAACTGAAATGTCCCAAATGGTTTTTGCAGTGGTGTGACCTCCCCCTCTGTGTTGCACTGGCTTTGTGCTCGTAGCCAGCACAGCAGACTCTGAGAGAACCCCCAAATACCACAGTATCCAATAAGGGACAAAGCTATCAGGGCCAGATTTGTTGTTGATGAAGCATGGTCCTAGCTCCCTGGATCAGATGTCTACGTCTATGCTAACCTGTGTGTGTTTGCAGTGGACCAGCTCAGTAAGCGGTGGGACTCTCTATTGCCTCCTAGGCCAGACCAAGACAATCCCTTTAGGACAATGGTTCCCAACCTTTTTTATATTGAGGACTGGCAAACCAATTCATAAACTTTTGGCGGACCTGTAACATTTTATTTATATATTTGCATATTCACATGCAAGTAATAAATATTCAGATATACAAATAAAATGTTACCCGCCTGCCAAAAGATTGTGAATGGGTTCCGATCCGTGGTATAAAAAGCCCCAGAACCAGCCTTAACTCCTAGAGCCCCTCACCCTTCCACTACCCCCCAGTGCCAGCCGCTGACCCCAGAGACCCCTGCACCCAACCCCCCTAGAGCCAACATCTCGCCCTCAGAGTCCCCTAGTGCCAGCCCCCTTGCCCCAAACGTCTCAGTGCCAGCCTCCTGTTTCCAGAGCCCCACTAAACCTAATCCCTCCAGGTTAGCCCCGTGTCAGCCCCCAGTCCCCAATACTAGCCCTTTCTTCTGTGCCAGCCCTGCCCCTCTAGTCCCTTCACTGTCCCTGACCCCTGAGCCCCCCAGAACTCACTCCCCATTCTGGATGTCATAGTGCCCCTCGGTGTCAGCCACCCCCCCAGCCCTAGAGACTCTCAGTACTAGCCTTGCCCCCAGAGCCCCATGCCTATCCTACCTCCCTCACCAAGCCCTGCTACTGCCTTCCAGCCACCAGCTGAGTGCGGAGTGCTTCCCTGCATGGCGGGAAGGCTGTGCGGAGCCTGCAGCTTGCCATGCTTCAGCTGACCACTGTTGCAACAGGGCCCCTGCTGAGCACAGCTGTAGTGATTGGCGAGGGCAAAGCGCCACGTGGAACCCAGGTGCTGTGGCACTCAGCTTGGATCAAGCAACGCGTGGAGCTTGGCTACTGCGATGCTCAACAGGGGCCGGGCTGCCATGGCACCCAGTTGTGGCCAAGCACTGCAGCTGTGCAACATGCGGTCCTGCCAGCCAGGCCACGTAGTGGCCACTGGAGCTAGAACTGGGGCCACAGTGAGGCTGCCCTAATAGGGACAGCCTCGCTGCAGCCCCAGCTTCAGCTGAATCACATCTGTTTGGTCACCGAGCCACTCACCCTGCTGCTGCGTGGGAAACCCCAGTGGACGGGGCTCATTAGCAGCTAGGAGCATGGCCTGGCAGGCAAGGATTCATAGCCCACCACTGGTCCCCGAACCACTGGTTAGGAACCACCGCCTTTAGGATACTCTTTCATACATAGATATAAGCAAGTTATGCATCACTTCCGTTGTATGAAATTGCCACCATCAAACATACCTAGATACCACCCATTATATATGGTTCCTTCAAAAACATTGCTGTCTATCATGCTGTCATCTTAGGCCTTATCCTGAATCTGTATTGGTATTTACCTGTTATCTGTGAGCAATGTGTTGGTACCAAGATGTTTCCTAATGAGGTATTTTGATGCCATCCATCTAGAATGTGTTTATGGCCTGTTCCTAGTACCTTTTACATGTGAGTTTTCTGCAGTATCATCTCCGTTCTTGCAAAGTTGTATGAGCAGAGCCTGCCTCTTGCTTACAGCTTAACTTGGCTTTAAATTAGCAAAGTCTTGACCATTGCTGTCTAAGGCTTACACCAGACCGTGATGCATGGGCTAAACTAAGTTTAGACCCTCATATTACTGCACCTTGTACTTAAAAAATTCTTAGCATCTGTACTCAAGATGATCTACTGTTGTTGGTCTGTGGGGTATGATGATATTTTCTTTCACTTCTCCACCTTCTAATAGTAGCATCAGTGCTTCAAGCAGATTTTAAACAGTTTTTTAGAATTGGTATTTAACTGGTGCGTTTCTGGTCTATGGGTGTGGTTTAAAACATGCTCAGCACCAGTTATATTGCAACTGTCACTGGCTGGCACTCCTTGCTAGAAGTGGGTATCATTCCTCCTGTAGAGAGAAGTTGAAAACAATATTTAAGTCAAATTTTGTCTTCCTTTACATCAGTTCTGCTGGTTTTTTTTACATATGTGAAACACCATTGTCTTCTGCAGCTGCAGTTTGATTTGTGAGACAGTTAATTTGTCTTCCAGCTTGTTTTCCCAAATCCTTTCTGGTTATGCTACAGTAATAAGAATTCAGAGTAGTAAAAAGTAATTGCTGGTACTGAAGTAAGCAGATATAATTCTAAATACGTTTATGGAGCTGATCTCTTGAGTAAGGTGGTGGTGACATTACACAGTCATTCTGCAGAGTAGAAACTGCTCTTTATTTTTTTTTAAAGTAGGGGTATTTTAATCTTTTTTTAAAGGTAGATGTGTCTATCGAAGAGTATACTTTGAAATTTCTACTTGACTCCGTCTTATAGACCACATAATGCAAGAACTTAAATATTTTTGTAAGCATAAAGGGATACTGCAGACGTAAGATAGAAAACAAACATGTAAGTTACATCCAAATGGAAATGTTAGAGATTTGTCTTGTGTATTCATTCATTTGGTATTAAAAATGTAGTGAACCTATTTTGCTATCAAGTGTAACTTCGGTAACAGTCTCAGAGGGTAGCTATGTTAGTCTGTAACTTTAAAAACAAGTAATTTAGTCCTGTGCCATCTTAGAGACTTACAAAAATATATAGGACCATAAAGTTTCATGGGTAAAACAAATTGGAGTGGAAATAACAGAATACATGATATATAACAGCAAAAACAATTATCTGTCAATTGTAGGACCTGTGTTAATGAAGCTAATAAAGTGTGCTGGATATGTCCCATTGATAGCTACTGATGTGAAATGCAAATATCAAAGGCAGGGGAAATTGGTTTTGTAGTGTTATAACAGTTAATGTCTTTATTGAAGCCCAGGGTAACAGTGTCAAATTTGTAAATGAATTCCAGTTTAGCAGTCTCTCTTTGTAATTGAGTAGGTAATGAAATTCCTTTGTAGAAGAATGGCTACTTTTAAATCCACGATTGAGTGTCAGGAAGGTTAAAATATTAACATACATAAACCTGAAGGGGACCATTCCTGATGTCTGATGTGTGTCCATTTATCCTTTGCCACAGAAACTGTCCAATTGGGCCAATATATGTGGCAGAAGGACATTGCTGGCACTTGATGGCATATATCACATTAGAGGATGCACAGTTGTTGTGGCTTAGATCCAGTGATGGTCTTGCTTGTATAATAGTGATCACTAATTAAAGTAGTTGTATTTCCTCACTGTGCTCGGAAAACTCAGAGATTCAGCACTGGTATTATAACCATTGGTTTTAGTGGTGGTGTATTTTGTTATTCTCCTTCAGTCAGTTTGGAATTTTTTTCCTTTGGGGGTCCAGTATGAACTTTAGGTAGTATACGGTCATAACCAGTATGCTACAGTATTTTTTTGTGTTATAATACATACGTACAAAGTGGCATATAAAAGTAGCATGGTCAACATTAGCTGACATATCCTGACTTTTGAGTGCTTGACTTTGTAAGCTCAACAATAATGATGGAGTCTCACATGGATGTAAAAGAATCAGCAAAAACAATAGGTTAACAGGTACATGTGAGGCCAGACCAGCATAAACACTGCAAACATGATTACTTGGGGACACAAAATGATCCATGATCCTACAATCTGCTGTGTTCTTGCTTTGTGCTGATCACTTTTTTTCACATATGGTATTAATATGCCTTACTTCATAGTGGATATTGACAAATCTGCCACCGCCTTGCTTTATTGTGGACTGTTGCTTTCTAGTTGCTGGGTTCAAACCTGATGTGCTTGAAGTATGGGCATCAGGGTATCTTTATTAGGGATGTAAAGTCCCACGTAATGGGTTAACCGATTAAATGGGAAGTTTATTTCACATAAACCCGGTTAACCCAGGCCTGCACAACTCGGAAAGCA